GATTATTGTGATGTTTTTATCAGCTGTTTGGACTCTCATTCTGACGGCACCCATTCACTGCAGAGGATCCATTTCTGAGCAAGTGATGACCCTATACTTTGTTGATATTCTAACTTGGAATATTCCATTCATTTTTGTGTGTGTACACTGACATTTTGTTTTTTTAATCAAACCTGTCCGTTTATCTAATAAACTTCATTTCCATTAGAAATAGCAGTGTAACACAGATATTTTCCTCACTTCCTCTTTACCTGGGCGATCCACGTGTGTTTTATTATAATGCTATCGGTTGGTTGCATGCACACTATCAAAGGGCACGCCTTATCGCACATGCACACAAAGTTCTGTGGGCTAGAGTGTTTGCAGGGTAGATTTATTGTGTGTGTGATTGTCAGAGGGGGCGGCAGATAACTGTGGCTGCCCATCCACGCATCTTGTTGTCTCAGGCTCGGTAAATCACTCGCGCTGTCTAGAGCGAGAGGCGGTGTGGATACTGATAAGGCCGGTGTGTATTCTTGTGTGTGTGTCTGTAAATCAGAGATGATGAATTGTTTCTGGGTGCAGGCAGGAATCTCAGGGGCGCTCGATGACGTCTCCAGACGCATGTTAAAGCAATAAAAGGTGTTGAAATGGCAGCTTTTATTAGACCACTGCCATTTTGTCAGTCTTCTTCCGCAACACCCCTCATGAAAATGTTTTATTGTTGTCGGTAGGACTGTTTTGAAATGTACGTACACTGCTTGTTCTGAGCTCTGTGGTGGTTTACATCTCAATAGGCTGAATAAATCCATTTTAAACAATGGTGTCATACTTAAGCTGGTCCCTTCTGGGAATTCGAGATATTACATGGGCAAATTGTGAATTACATGAACGTGCATGTCTCAGCAAGCCATAGTCAGCTTAAAATTATAGGATGATAATAAAACTGTGATGATATAGGGAGTACAGGACAAATGTATGTGCGCCTCTTTTATAGATTGTGCGGTTATACTGTTAATATCATTTAAGGCTCTCACAGGGTTAGTGATTTTATATTTTCTTTTATAAAGCAAATTTATTGAGTGGGTCAATGACAATTCTGCAGAAAAAGGAAAGAAAATGAAAAAATATGTAAATCTAGTTTAAAACACATGTGCCAAGAGTTAATTAATGTATTCTTTGTGTTCATTTTGGTTTTGAACAAATTTTCTACCCATTAAAAAAAAAAAAAAGTAAAAATTTCATGACTCAATAGAAAGTAATAATCTATTGCTCTTGCACCTTGAATAAATTGTTATTATTGTCACTATTATTATTATTTGGGTAAAAATGTATTAATTCATAAATATTATTAAATTTTTGTGAGTTGCATCACATGACAAAATGCATTAACAAATTAGCCATCTCATAAACAGTCAAAAAATATCTGAATTTTTATTTTATTTGTTAATATTTGTTTTGCTTTTCATAGCAGGGAACCCATTGATAACAATGAACAATATATTTACAATATTATATATGTCAGAAATAGTGCTGTCAAACGATTAATCGCATCCAAAATAAA